GGGACCTCTCTGCGCGGCGGGCTTCTACCCAGACCCCGCGTGGGGGATGCCCGGGCGGTGGGGTCGCCCTGGGCTGCTGGGGGGGAGGGAGGCGGCCCAATGGGCGTGTGTGCGCCCCTACGGAGGTGTGTGCGTTGGGGGGAGCGTGTGTGTATGCGTGTAGGTGCGCTAGCAGGCGTGTGCGCACACGTGTGCGGATGTCAGCGCCGCTGTGGCTGGGGCCTGACACAGTCACACTCGCTCGAATGAGCAGCCCGATCCGAGGGTCTGTGCATGGGTGTCTGAGGCTTCCCGCGCGCAGGTATGCGCGGATGTGGGTGTCAGCGTGCGCGAGAGGGCGGGTGGGAAGCTAGTGGCTGTGTCTTGCACCCTAATTTGGTCCCCTGTCCTTGGTGAATAACTTGGGTGTAGGATGAGTGTCTGTCCTTGCCTAGCTACGTATGACCCCCCACCCCCCCACCCCCAGCAGCGGCTGGCGCAATACACCCAATGCTCCACCCCATTGCAATAGCGCCTCCTCCGGGGCAGCTTTTGGGTGCCCCAGTGTGGCCAGCGTGTGCGCGCGCCTTCCCCGTTGGCCCTGTGCAGGCTGCTGGCCTGGGAGTCGGGGAGCTGAGACCCGGAGGAAGAGGGTCGGTGTATACGCCGAGCCCGGACCCCTGGGGCCTTCATGGAGGAGGTGGCCTGGGAGCGCGCGCCCGTGGTTCCCAGGCTCAGGCCCCGGGCTGACGCCTCCGGGCCGCAGCGGCCTCCCCCGCCCCAGGAATGTGCCTCTCTCCACTCCAGCCTGCCTCCCCAGGGGCAGCCCCCCGCCCCCCACCCCACCCCAGGGGCCGTCCCAGCGCCGCCTTCCCTCCCCGGGAGCCCAGCCCGGGTGGGGGCGATGCGGGCTGGACGCCTGGGTTTTCTCCTCCTCCCTGTCTCATCCCGGGGAGAAATTCCTCCGAGGTCCCCCCAGGCTCTGGGTTCCCAAAATAACCCTGCGGGGGAAGGGAGGCTGTGGAGGGAGAGGAGAGAGAGAGGCGCAGAGCCGAGTTGCGGGGCGCTGCAGGTGCCTCTGGGAAGAGGGGGCGAGGAGCAGAAGGCCTGCGGGGGGCTGGCTCATCTCCGACCGTGGGGAGCCCTTCGGCCCTCCCAAGACTCCCGCGGCTCCGAAGGGGCGGGGGCGGGGGCGGTGTGAGGAAGCCCCGTGGCGGAGCGGTTTCCCAACCGACGGGTTGCACCATCCTTGGTCCGGACAGTTTAGCCCCGGGAGTGGCCGCGGCCGGCGACTCCGCCCCTGCCCAGCAGGGGGGCGTGCCGGCCCCGCCCCGTTCCTGCCCGCCGCGCCCGCGCCTCCGCACACTCAGGCTCTGCCTCTCCCGGCGCAGGGGTCCGGTCCGAGCCCCGCGGGAGGCTCCCGCAGCGCAGCTTGGGCTCAGCGCCCCCGCGCCGGCGGCCATGGCGGGCATCCTGGACCTGGACAAGGGCTGCACGGTGGAGGAGCTGCTCCGCGGCTGCATCGAAGCCTTTGGTGAGTGGCACACGAGGGTACCCCCAGCAGACCCCAGCCTGAGCCTGTGCCCCGGCCCTTGCCGCCCAGCGCAGACCCCGGGTCAGGACTCAGCCAACGCTGCACTCGTAGCCCCCTCCTCATCACAGGGTAGAGACCCCACCCTCAGACCAATAGAACCGTCCCCTGCCCCAGTAGGCCCAAGCTGGCGCTGGGGAGAGCCTTGGGGTCCCCAGAATCTGACAGGAGGGGCATTATCTGCCTGGGGGCTGGATCCGGAGGAACTGCTAATCTTCCGGCCTGGGAGCTGTTTCCGGCTGATGGGGCTGCCTATCTGGGCCAGCATGCCCCTTCCCCCAGCACTCAGGAAGTGACCTCTGGGATCCTGACTCCTGGGAACCCGGATCTTTCGTCCCAGCTGGCTCCCCTCTGGTCCACGGGGCGGCTAGGACACCTCTCTCCCTCAGGCCCTGAGACCCAGCCTGCCGGGGAGGGGGCAGGGTCCGGCGTTCCCTGGGTGGGCTGGGGGGGCGCCGTGTTGGGGAACACAACTGTTCTCTGTGTAGATGACTCCGGTAAGGTGAGGGACCCACAGCTGGTACGCATGTTCCTCATGATGCATCCCTGGTACATCCCCTCCTCTCAGCTGGCTGCCAAGCTGCTCCACATATATCCTTCATCAGCCTTCCTGGGCACCCTGGACCCGAGTCCCTAAGGAGCCCGGCTGCCCACCCTTGCAAGACTGAGTGCCCATAGTGGAGTGCTGTCGGTCCCCTAACTCCCTCTAGCACCTGCCTCTCCCCCCCTGCGTCCCCCCACTCAAACCCTGTACCCTCTCCCTACCTTGGGCCTGGTCCTTGCCCTTCCTGACTCTCGCCCTACTCCCCATCCAGACCCATCTCAGGCCTCTCCCAGCACCTAGAGCCTGCTCCCAACCTCCTGCAGAACTTAGGGCCTGCCTGCAAGCCCTCCTCCAAACTCCAGCCTCACTCCCTCCAGGCCTTTCTAGAACTAGGGTTGCCCCAGACCCTGCCCTGAGCCTCCACCCCCCACCCCCCAACAGTCCGGGCCCCATCCTCCCTCCCTAGCTAGAATGAAGCCCCTTCCTGCTTCTCCTTAACTCTCTCCTTCACCTACCAACAATCCCGGAAGGACAACTCCAATTCACTGCAGGTGAAGACATGTCACCTGGTCAGGTGAGTGTCCCCTGAGGCGCTGTCCTTGCCTCTTGCAAGCGTCCTCCAGATTTCAGACTAGGTTGGGCCTGAGGGTGGAAAGACCACTCTTGGGAGAACTGGGCCCTGTGTGTCCGATTCCTGGCTCTGTCTCGGTCTCCATAGGCTCCCCCTTCCTCCACCAGGCCCTCCGTCACCTTCCCTGCCCGTGGGGATGTCTTCAGGGTACAGAGGAGGAAAGAGATGGGGTGGGAGGCTGCAAGGGAGCACCCAGTTTGAGGTGTGACCCGCCCACTGGGGTGGGGTGGGCTGACTCTTGGGTGTCACCCTTGGGCGGCTCTGCCCCACCTGCAGGTATTGGATCTCAGCATTCCCGGCCGAGTTTGACTTGAATCCGGAGCTGGCTGAGCAGATCAAG